ATTTGTTAACTCCATCTTGTATAGACGAATTTAAAAAGTAAAAAATAAGTAAATAAATAATTCAATTTTTTTTTACTAAAAGTAAAATAAAATAAAATAACAAAAACACCACTAAAAATCCTACTCCAAACACTCACAGTATGCGCAACTTGGAGCACAGATCCTCCCCTTGCATTCCCTCCTTGCAGGGCCTTTGGGCCCACTTTTAGGCCCAATTTTGATAATCTGAACCGTTCATATTTTAAGATTTATTCAGTATATCATACCTGTCAAAAATCAAGTTAATCGGATATCAGAAAATATGTGTTCGGAACAATCGAACTAAGAACTATTTTTTTAAAGAATTTAATAAATAGTTTTCCGAACACATACTTTCTGATATCCGATCAACTTGATTTTTTACAGATATGATATACTGAATAAATCTTAAAATATGACGATTTGGATTATCAAAATTGGGCCTAAAAGTGGGCCCGAAGGCCTTGCAAGGAGGGTTGCAAGGAGGGAGTGCAAGGGGAGGATCCGAATTCCGCAACTTGACCGTGTGCAGTAATAGTAGGTAGCAAAGAGAAAATTAAAGGGGAAATTATCTCAGTAGAACCTCCCAAAATTAATTACTAGTTGATAGAAAAGTTTATCACTTCGTATTTTAATATTTATAAAATTTATCATTAATTTGTAAATATTCTCTTAAACCCACCCCAACATGTAATAAATTTGTCATTATGTTTATAAAATTAAACATAAATGTAAGGGTGGGACGGTTTTGTTATAAAAATCTTATGAGATAATAATTATTTTACAAGTTATCATTCATGTTGTAATTTTCAAAAATATGCATTGATTTGTTTGTGATTTACGCTAAAATAAAAAAAAATAAAAATAAGGGGATTCGATTCTCCAAGGCCGACCTCGGTGATTCACATCGTTTACTCTTTATGATTTGTTAAGTAAAATATTCATGCAAAAATTTAATATGATTGAGCGTCGGTAGTCATATATTTGAATCACTTTTGTTTTTACAAAATAACGACAATTATAATTTCAATAGTAGCCATTCATTTTTTTTTTTTTTTGGTAATATAAATGTGTTTCAAACATATAATTATCAATATCTAATCTTCTTAATTTTTTACATAAATATGCTATTTGATGAGTATTGACATATGAACGGTTTAGATCACCGAAACCGACCCCAAAATAGCCCAAATGCTCTCTGAAGTTCAGATGGGCAACTTCAGAATCCAAACCCATAATAAATAAATAAAATAAATAAAAAGAAGGTAGTTACACTTTTCACCTTTTAATTTGACTCAAATTTCACTTTAATTCATATAGTTTTAATTTAAACATTATTGTTTATACATTTCAAATCAAGTTTCAATTAAATGCAAGGTATGTAATATCACTCATACTTTGAAATTTGGAAAGTTTACCTGTATTGAAAATTTATATCTGTTTAGAAATATTTGTTTTGGGTTATCGGTGGAGAATAACTATGATGTTGTAGAACCTTGCATGAGGATTAGGTGAATTGAAATTAATTTCTCATCTTTGTGCATTGAACATTATTGCTCATTTAATACGTTGCAAATATATATGATTTTGAGAGAAATAGGTGAACATGGAAAAAAGGTGTGTATCACCAAATCAAGTTAGCCTGTGTGTCCAGGATGAAAGTCCCGAAAAACGAGCGTATACATGGGTGCCGTTTCCTACGGACGAAATATCCGTGAAAGGTTGTACCAGTTTGATAATTCCCCATTGTTTTCTATTGTAAAGGACATGATTTGAGAATTGTGATATAAACTGAGCATGACATGGTTTTCTTAGGATAAAAATATAAAACGTTTTGACATAGGCATTGCATATGCATTTCACCCTTATATCTTTGTTAAGATTTATATATTGTATTGGATTATTTCTACTGGACTTTGGTTCACCCTATATGGGAAAACTATTTTTAGGTGTTGGTGAGATACATCCGCTAAGGCAATAGCTTGGGAGGATTGGAGCAAGAGCTCCATTTTGTTTATTTGCTGTAATTATTTTGTGCAAGCCTAGGGCTTTATCTGTATTGGATTTATATCCATTTGATGTAACCAAGTACAGTCTTGGACAGTTGTAGCCTTTAGGGCCAACTCCACCATCCATATCAATATTCATTCAATTTCACATTTACAACACCAATTCCATTTATTTATACAAAATAAACATTTGAGACATTTAAGGCAAAACCATTTCTCTTCCAAATTTCACTCCAAGTGCCAAAATCAATAATTTTATCACAACTCAACCACATTTCTACACCCACAATCAGTTTCAATACATCCATTTGAAAATCCCTCTTTTGATTTTAAACCAAAACCCTAGGTTTGTTCAAAATCCTCTAAAATAACAAGATTGTTTTATAAAGACAAATAGCCAAGTTAAAAATCATAAAAGAGTGTAGAGAATCCTTATCTCGAAGCTAGAAGACGAGGGAGAGAGTGATGATACTTCCACAACATTGAAACCCAACTTTGTTCGAATGAAAACGAAACTCTAGTTGAGCTCTATCTTTTTAACAAAAGGAGTAGGGTGGAGAAATGAGTAGATCTTGGTGTATTTGTAGAGAGAATGTAAGTTTTAGAGAGAGAGAGAGAGTCTCAACTTAGGGTTTTTAGAAAGTTTTGAGAGAGAAAGAGACATTAAAAATTGATGTAAAAAAAATGACTTTTACAGACTGATGTATGCGCAGTCCGTTCGAGCGTAAGAAGTGACGCTTGAGCGTCCAGACACAAAAATAATTACCGCTCGAGTGTAGAATATACTCTCCTAATAGTTTTGTAGACAGATGCTTACTACTCGAACTCAAGAAGTGTCTCTTGAGCACACGATCGCTCGAACGCATGAAGCACCGCTTGAGCATAGAATACACTGTCCTTGTAGTTTTGTAGACCTACCAATATATTGGAAGTCCACAAAGTCCACTCGAACGCAAGAAGCTACGCTCGAGCATAGAGGCAAAAATCTGGGCAATCAAAGTTTTGAAAACAAGCTACCAAACTGTTCCGAACGCAACCAACACATCCTAAAAGTCAAACTCCAGGAAGGAAAAGAAGAATAAGATATGTATAACAATACAAAACAACGAAACCCGTATCTAGAACATCAAATAGGTTGGGTTTTAAATCAGAATCACTATAATTACATAACCTTACACACACTTAGGGCTGGTTTGGCAACCTTAGAACAAGCTAAGAGCATCTCCAATGGGAGCTGCTATATCAGTTGCCAAAGCTAAAAAATGACAGGAATGGCAAAGAGTTGTCTCCAACGGTCTGGTAGATGGCCCAAGATTGGTACTGACGTGATGAACTAAGTCTGTGACAGAGACAAAAAAAAAATTATTATGTGTATATTCAAGAGTTTGGATGGTGAAGTTGGGCTCGTGGGGGCCTACCATAGGTCCCGTTTTGATAATCTGAACCGTTCAATATGTAGAACTTGTCTAGTACTATACACTTGTAAAAAATCACGTCTATCAGATATCGCTAACTACATGATCAAATCAGTTTTGTATAAAAATGGATGGTGTTATAGTTAACAGTTAACAAAAAAAAAACTAACACGATTAGATAGCTATCGATATTTAATTAAAGTGATTTTTTACAAACATATAGTACTCGACGAGTTCTACACATTGAACGGTTCCGATTAGAAAAATGGAACCCGTGATGGCCTCCACGAGCCAAACAACACCATCCAATCAAAGCTAGAGAATGAGACAATATTTTCTCATCTACTCACCGGCAGACTCCATTGCCAATCCGTACGGCCTCCTACCCTATCTTCTCCTACACACTTAATTATACAATTTTTTAATATATTTTTTTTTATAAAAAGTCAAAAAATTAACCCAAACATCCATATTTTTTTTCTCAATTTTTTAATTTAAAAATACAAAAAAATATACTTATTTAAGACACTTCAAACAACCCCTTACCTTAAGAGAAAATGACTAGATCACTGCTGTCACCGAAAACCCTCTACACCGTGACATGCTTCCAAAAGTAACAAATACAAAATGCCCCACCCCACCTACAAACACATCAACAAAAATGAAACCACCTCAACCATATATCATTGCACTGCATTTATGTAAAATGGCAATGTAAACATACGTTACCCCAAATCAAACAAACCCACGTCAGTATACAGAATCGACCAAATCCCACATAAAAGGTAAAAATATAACTCCAGCTATACCAAATTAAATAAAAATACTCTTTCCAATCAAATAGCATTAAATGGTTCATAAGAGAATATTTAAGATCCGTTTGGAAAGATGATTCGTGGCTAAGGTTAAGTTTGGAAAGTCTTAAAAAAATCAGAAAGTTAAAAAATTATTCAAAAAGTTAAAAAGTTATTACTATTCATCAAAAGTCAACAATTACGGCCGCACAACTCCCAATTCTAATTTTCTCTTATAAATCAATTTTTACAATTTTTTATTACACATTTTTCTATAAAAAGTCAAAAAGTTAACCCAAACATTCATATTTTCAACCTTAACTTTTTAGTCTAAAAAGACAAAAAGTGCACTTATTTAGGACATTCCAAACAATCCCTAAAATAGCCATAAAAGATAAAATAGGCTATTTGAGGCGCAACAAACAAAACATCACATCCAACTCATAATCATTACACTCTTCTGTCACAAAAAAAAGTTAAAAAAACCAAAAAATCTTTCTCAAACTAAACTTTTTAACCCAAACTAAAATAATTAAAAAATCAAAAAACTAACCCACTTTCCAAATCCACTCTTAAATAAATCAACATTCTTTAATTTGAAATTTATTAGTAATTCCTTTTAAGAAAAATTATCATTTTGGAATTGGGGGAGTACGAATTAATACTAGCCCATTCTACCGTAATAAACACGCTACGAGTGAAGATTAAAAATAAACTATAAAGCTGTGGGACCCCTGGTAGCTGTGGGATCCTCATTCCGATTTATCAAGCTTGGCTCTCTACTCGATCTTTCATCACAACACAACACAAGCAAACGGAACGAGTACTGACCCTTCTGGTATCGTATTGCGCTCTATTTTATGGGAAACTCAGTGTCCATGTTTGGTCATGGTCTTCGTTTTCCTTCTCTTCCCTTTTCCGACGACATGTTTTCCGGTCTTATACCGGGTCTCAACTCCGTCAACTCGCCGGAAGACGAACTTTCCGGTCAAATTCCTCCAACTTTGACAACTCTTCTCCATCTACCAACCCATTTTCTTCGTCTCTTCACCCACGGCATCGCTTTTCTGCGCCGAGACCGCTCCGATTTCGGCACTTTCGTCCTCTGGTCCGGTCTAGTCACATCCGTCGCTTTAATTGCTTGGTCCCATAACTCTCAGGAGGACGAGGACGAGGACGAGGACGGCGGTGATACTGTTGCACCGCCGGAATTTGACGCGGTGGTGTTGGGCTCCACGCGTCGCTTCGAAGATGGTAACCGTTTCTGCTTTTGTTTTTGCCAATTGATCATGGGTTTGGGTTTTCCGAGAAAAAGTTTTCCCGAGAAAAAGTTTTCTCGGAAAAGTTTTCTGAACAGAGAAAATTAATGAAGTTTTTAAGGTGCATTATTCAACTTTACTATTTTTGTAATTCTTTTTAGGGAACTTTTGAACCGCAATGAGATGAGAAAGTTAACTTTTTTGTGACGCTGTCGTACACTTTTATAATCATATCAATAGCGTATTGATGGAGCAAAGCATAAGAATTTTTTTAAGTTGCAAATTGAAATTGGGGTAAACGAATTAGGAATTATTTACAGTGATTTATAATATATATTGAATATGCTTTTATTAGCGATTTGAGATCTCCATTGATAAAACTCATGCCAAGAAAATAAAAAACAAAAAGAGAGAATGGAAATATCATAATCAACATTATTGTAGACTTGTGGTGATATTCATTAGTAATGAAACTTCTAAATATAGTTTTTTACTCATTGAAATTGGTATAAGTTTCTCCTTTTTTTTTTTTTTCTTTTTTACTTTTTTCTTTTTCCTTTTTTTCTTTTAATGGATTTAGGATTTGTTGAAGTTTGGAAAAGGAAATGGAGTGAAATTACTTGTACTTGATCATTTTTTAGGAGTACCTAAACATGAAAATGAGTTTTTGAGGAATTGCTCTTTGTTTTAATAGAAAAACAAATAAAAAATAATACTAGACGAGCTGTTTTTGTTTGGTTGGGGTTCTGAACTTTTCCCAAAAATGAAAAACGAAAATAAAATTTTTGAAAACGTAGCATAAAATTCCTAATTGAGCCAAACAATATTGTTTAATTGATTTGAGTTGAGTTAAAACTCAAAATCAAAAGGCCATCCAGTGAAAAAAAACCCCAAAACTGTTCCTTTTATTTTATTGCTATTTTGAAATGCCATCGAATATATGCTTTGAGATGAGAAAGTTGAAGTACCTAGAGAGTTTTACCAGAAATTTAACCAAAAGAATGATGTGTGGGTTAGATTGAATTCTTGTACATTGGGCTCCTACATAAAATGAATCTCAACCATTCAATGTGTTTTCTGTGACAATTTTCTAGGTACCTAACAGCTCTGCTTTAAGATTGATGCTTTCTCTGGATTTTTTAATCTATTACTCTCTCTCTGGTAGCCTGTGTTTGAATGTTGGTTTTCTTTACTTTTTTGGATCATGGCCAGTGGCATGAAGACTATTTTTTTTCTTTTTTTTTTGGTTACATCAGAAAGAAAACTACAAGCAAGGGGCTAAGCCCATTTACTAGAGATTCTGATCATGCCCCTCACTAACAAGCTTCTAATTTCAGTTGGTGGTTTGTTCACCACCAACATTCCTTCAAGTTGATCCGCACTTAGTTTTGCTAGAGTCCGCACATAAATTTCCTTCTTTCCAAATGTGTTGAATCGTGCACTCACATTCTCTGAAGAGAATTTTGCATCTTCCACCAAGTTTCTGAAGGGGCATTGATCCCCAGTTTCTTCCTCCATTAGGTTGACTACCTAGGTTGCATCTGTTTCTATCATCACATTGTTTAGGCCCTTTTGTAGTATAACAGTGAGGCCCTTGTACAATGCCCACAGCTCCGCTTGTAGGCTTGTTCCCATTTGCATTCTGCCATAGTGGCATGAAGACTATGAAAAAAGAGAATTTACAGTGAATTTTAAGGTTTGTTTGTGTTTATGTGTGTGGTAAATCTTTTATTTTTTTGGAACTAATGTGTGTGGTAAGTCTGATATTATATAGTTGTATTTGTGGTGAAGCTCTCTTTTCTTTCCCTCTCTCCTTCTCTTGATTGGTGAGCTGGTGAAGCACAGATGTGTGTCAGTGTTGAAGCATGTTCTTTGCACACCATTCATCACTACTCCTACCCCATAAAATTGCTTTGCACCTTCAATTAATTCAGACCCGCACACCCAGTTCTTTAAGTCATTACATGGAATATTTCATAAGACTTCTCTTAAGGATTAAAAGCACCAAACCACCTGCAGCTCGCCCTAAGAAAGTTTTTTTTTTTTTAATTCTTTAAAGCTGAAAAACTATTTTCATGAGATATTTCACTGAATTAATAAAAAATAAAAAGAGGTTTGAAGCATATCTCATATGGTAAGCCTAGATTTCACACATTGATAGAAAGTTAGAAATATGTAGATGTTAATTCCTGTTTTCTACCTCAGTAGGAATTTTTAGTGCTTTGTTATGGCATACGTCATTACCTACATGACATTTACCCATAGCAATTTCACTGGAAGTGTCACGGCCCAAACCTGTTCCTAAAAGTTTGGACATGACCGACCTGTATTTAGGCCTCAAAACAAAATAGTCAACAAATAATTTATACAAGTATAATGACAAAATGAAACGTCCATTGAGCGGTGTCTAAATGCGAGGATCTTAGTACACACATCATATACATCCACATCTACATATACAGTTCATAAAACCACAAGTCCACGACATGCCAATCTAAACAAAAAGGTAATGATCTATAATTTTCATATTAGCAATATATCTATATCATTAGCAAAATGGAATATACAAGGGAAATTTGGCTATAAACCCCCTTTACCTTCCTTTCATTGTTAAAAGGATTAAGAAAAAAATTATACTTTCTAAACCCCCTCATAATTATAAAGTCTTGCATAAAGGACAAAATTTATTATTTAAATATTTTATTAGACTATTATACCCTTAACTAAATTGTCCCACCTTCTCCACCCACTCTCTCCCCACCTTCTCTGTCTCTCTCCTTCCTCTCTCCCTTCTCTAACTCTTTCAAGCTTCAGATCTAGAAGCTCAGCTACCGCCTCTGGAACTCCTATGTCGACCTCGCCAACGCCGTCAGCGTCCAATCCTCTTCCGCCGTTCCTTCCAGCGAGCACGCCAAGCTCCGCCACGTCTTCACTGATTTGCTCTTCTTATGTATATGTGTATGCAAGTATTTATCTATATGTATGTGCACGTATGTATGTATATATGACTCATACATACATGTGTATATGTATATATATCGGTAAGTGAGTGTATGTATGTATATTTGTGAGTATATGTATGTATATTTTTGAGTGAGTGAGTGTATGTATGTATATCTGTGAGTGTGTGAGCGTATGTATGTATATCTGTGAGTGAGTGTGTGTATGTATGTATGTATATCTGTGAGAGTATGTATTTATATTTGTGATTGTATGTATGTATGAGATAGATTTGGAACAGTAAAATTTTACTGAGATTAAAAACATATTGATTTTCTCAACAACCAAACTATATTTGGTTTTCTTATTATGTTTCTGTGATTTTCTGAGCAACCAAACACGCAAGGTTATTAATACATGACACTTAGTGTGATTCAAAGTGGATACTCTCCTTAAATCATAGTAAAATTGTACTTTACTCTAAATTAGAGTAAAGTTTATATGAGTTTTGAATATATATGTATATATATATTTGTGTGTATAAGTGTTGTTGAAGACATGTATTCTTTGAAATCAAAAGATAGAGAGATATTTGGATGTGTTCTTTGAAATAGTCACCTCAATTAGATTATGATTATGTTGATATTTGGATGTTTTTGTTTAGTTTTTGATATGTGTGTTTCGTGGTTATATAACCTTGTAATATAGATTTGTGTTTTTACTAGTTTTTGAATTGATCTATTCATACTCAGCTTGTTCAATGGATGATCGATCTATTAAAATGGATGATCTATTCAATTTCTCTCTCTTTCTCTCTCTCTGATAAGAATCTCTCTAATAAGAATTTCACACAGAAATTTTACTAATCAGAGTAAAATTTACTCTAAATCAGAGTAAAATTTTACTCTGGTTAAATAATATTGATTTGCTTAAAAATATGAATTTTTACTTTGAATCATGGTAAATTTTACTCTGATTCAGAGTAAAATTTTACTCTGAATCAGAGTAAAGTTTACTATGATTCAAAGTAAAACTTTACTCTGAAATTTTACTTTGGTTAAAAAACATGTTGATTTTCTCAGCAACCAAACTATATTTATTTTTTTGTTATGTTTATGTGATTTTCTCAGCAACCAAACACACAAGGTTATTAATGCATGACACTTAGTGTGATTCAAAGTGGATACTCTCCTTAGATCATAGTAAAATTGTACTTTCAGAGTAAAATTTTACTCTAAATCAGAGTAAAGTTTACTATGATTCAAAGTAAAATTTTACTCTAGTTAAAACCATGTTGATTTGCTTAACGATATAAAATTTTACTTTGAATCATAGTAAATTTTATTTTGATTCAGAGTAAAACTGTACTTTCAGAGTAAAATTTTACTCTGAATTATAGTAAAATTTTAATTTTACTCTGAATCAGAGTAAAATTTTACTCTAAAATACACTGTGAAGATAGCTTAATAAGAGAGTTAATAAATATGAGGGTAATATAGTAAAAGAAACAAGTTTTAAAATATTAAGGGGTTTTAAAAATACCTATATAATTCTTGTTCTTTTGAAAAATAAATTAGACAGTGAGGGGTCTATCACCAAATCTCCCAATATACAAAGGAAATCCAAAATAAAACAAAAGGGTTTTACTTGGGAGGCTTGACAAAACTGGACCAACAAAAGGCTCTTGGAGTTGACCTAGGGCTGGCCTCCGGGCTGCTTACTTACATAAATATATATAAAAAAATAGAGTGAGTTAGGCTTAGTGAATAATAGCAATGTAAGGAGATTCATGTGAATGAGCATAAGACACGAAGAATATATTTTAAATTACATGTCTGTCTTAGTCTTGATCATTCTGGACCGGCCTCAGGCCCACATAAGACAGAACGGCCTCGGGCCCAACATAAGACGGAACCGCCTCGGGCTCAACATAATAACAAAACGGCCTTGGGCCCAATATCATAGTAAAATGGCCTTGGGCCCAACACATCAACAGCTGTTCGGAACAGTATTGGGTAGATGGAATATCGACATGTCTCCATCGCCCTCGGCCTTAGAGCCATGTGTCATAAGTAGTCCATGTCATAACGGCCTCGGACCCATTATTCACAATCAAGCAGAACGATCTTGAGTCCATTGCATATATCATTGTTCAATCATTCCCGTTATTCCAATCAAAACACAAGTGATACAACATACGCCATTCACAAGTAGAAATATAAAAATCGTAATCACAATACGTAAATAAAACATGTCGTTACACTATTATTACTCACAGTGATGTGGACGAACAATGATCCCTTCCTGTACGTGACCTACACATAGCACACAACTCGTAAGTCCCTTTTCTTTAGCCTTTTCTTTTTATTCAATGTTCGATTCGTTTAATTCGTAATCAATTATAAGCATTTTAGAAGGATCAAATGTACACATTAATAATTTTAGAGGGTCAAACAGAGGTAAAGAAGTTCACAGAAATTTCCTCCATGGGCTGCGCGTGCGGAAGTCTCCCACCGCACATGCGGGAAGGTGTGCTGCACGTGCTTTTATTTCAGAATGCCCAATCATGCTCCCTTGTTTTCCGCACGTGCGGCTGTGTATCCCGCACGTGAGGCCATGGGCCCCGTACGTGCGGTTCTGGGCTCTGTTTGAGCAGTCTGAATATTCAACAATTTCAGCTTTTGAGAGGCAATTCAAGGCCCTAATCCAAGCAATTATATTTCACAAACATAATATATGATCACAATAAACATAAATCTCAAGCCCAAGTAAATCATAACTCATCTCAATTGCACTTTTACAAATCAAATTTCCATATTTCATTCATTTCTTCATCTTCTCATGGTTAATCAAAATAGGTACAAACATATATGCATGTAAGAGCCAAAGCATGCAAAATTAAAGATTAGAAGGTAGTTCCTCTCAAACTAAATCATAATAAACTCCAAATACAAGAATCAACTCCCAAAGTAGACAAAGACAATGAATCTTGATGATTTTCATGGATATTTTCTCCAACAAAATCTTTATGGCAAAACCCTAACTTCCGTAAGTGTATAACTTCTTTTTAAGGCTTGAATCTCATCAATTGAGGAAAGATTTAAGATATTAGAGTTGATTTATACTTGCCTTGAGTCAATCCTTGAATTAATCTTCAAGTTTCTTCAATCTTCCACTTAGGTTGAGCTCTCTCCTCTTTTCTCCCTTCTCTTCTTCTCTCTCTTTGTCCGGGAGATATTTTTAGAGTTTAGGCACATATATGTAACCACTATATCTTCTAAGTTTTAAGTTATGAGTCTAAATAAGCCTAGTTGAGATTTGAGCCCAATTAAATCAATTTAATTCGTTATGAATCAAATTTTTACAAAAAATCATATTATGTCCTAAAAATCATGTTGATCATAACTGTAAAAGTCAATTTCAGGTTATGGTGCCTCTAAGGCTTTCAGTTTCCAGTCCAAAGGTCGTAATTTCAACGGATTTTCTCATAACCGACAGATATAATTTCATAATCACATAATTCACATAATTAAACACAATTCCATGTGAAATTTCTCATCAAGCATATAACCACACATAATTAAAGACGTAAAACATGTAAGAGGGTCGGGTTATTACAGTAAGGCTCTGAGTCTGAGCAATACCAACTTCCTTGTTATTGGTGAAATCAATTTTTATTACACTGATCAATCTTGGCTTGTGTCAAGAATAGTCCCTAACTGATGCCATTGGAAATGATGCTGAATTTTTTGTTTTGGTTATCAGTGAGGGAATTTTAGTCATCCAAGTAAGCTACATTTATCCTGCATTATGTGGGATTAAAGGCCATTTAGGATTTTTGTACCAATCCTTGTTTTTCACAAACATAGCCTCTAGCATGCCTAAATGTTGTCATGCCAAGAAAAGAAGACTCATTTTCACAGTAAACTGATACCTTGGACATATTTTTTCAAGTTTAAAAAATTAGCTTCACCTAAAATCTCACTGTCAGCTCTTCTGTTTAAATTGATATTTGATCTATCAGAGGTAGAGTCTGCTCTCAGGCAGCTGGGATGTACCATCTTGCCTCGCAAGTTAAAGGAACATGCCTGTTATTCTGTCATGATATATTTGTTTAGGTTAACTTTTTAAAAAATATAGCTGTTCTAGGTTTGGAGTTTGGATGTATTAGAGACCTCAGATGGTCTCCCATTTCCTCTCCTAGAATGTCTATTTTTCTGTCATATTAATCGATCAGTGTGGATGTGTTTTTTTTCTTTTCAGTGCTTTACAAAGCAAATGGAAGTGAGATTGCCTCAGAATCAGATGTGCTGTATGCAGAAGAGTTGCAGATGCAAGAAGTCATGTTGGCTTCCCTACTCCCTTCTCGAATATCAAACAATGCAATGTCGCCAGCCATCCAAACTAGTCCAACATCAAATGCCGAGCCATCCCAGTTCTCCTGCGGTATTTGCTTTGAGGAGATAGAAAGTTGGCGAAAGTTCAGAAACCAAACTTGCTCTCACTCCTTCTGTTATGATTGCACAAGTAAACACATTACAGCAAAGATCCAAGACAACGTAAAAATAATTTTGTGCCCTGAAGTAGATTGCAGAGCTCCGTTAGATTTCAACACTTGCAGACAGATCATCCCAAACGACATCCTTGTCAAGTGGGATGAGTCCCTGTGCAAGTCACTGATTCCCGAATCCCAAACAGTGTACTGCCCTTTTATGGACTGTTTGGCCATGTTGGTTAATGATTCCGGGGAGGTCATAAAGAAGATAGAGTGCCCTGCATGCTGGAGATCAATCTGTGCAAGGTGTGGTGTTCCATGGCATTTGGAATTTACATGCGAGGAGTTTGAGAGACTGAATGCGAAGAAGAAAAAGGGGAAAGATGATGATGGGTTGGTGAAGGAACTTGCTAAGAAGAAGAGCTGGAGGAAATGCCCAAATTGCAAAATCTATGTGGAAAAAACTGAGGGTTGTTTGCACATTACTTGCAGGTGTGGATACGAGTTTTGCTATCGATGTGGATCAAAGTGGGGCAAGTATCACGGCGGCTGCAGCCTACAAGCATGACTGCCGGGGGGAGATCATATAGAGAAAGTGAAGGAGAAAGGGTGGGTTATAACACACCAGAACAGTAATATAATGGTCCAAACAGGTACAGCTTTCTAAGTGTTTTGTATAGCTTTTACTAACAACTTGGGAGGTAAAAATAATTATTTAAGTTTAAAAATGCTAATTATTAGCAAGTTAGAGAATAAATATTTTTAGCTTTTTTTTTCCCCTCTGATTATCAATTTCTAGCCATAAAAAAGCTACACATGCCTAACTACAGAGGAATAACCAAAAAAACTTTACTGATGCATGAGAACCTAGCTAAAATTGGGCTTGGGATGGTGATAATCAAACTGACCACCAAAGGATTTTTACAAGCTTTAGCTAGATTTTTATTTTTATTTTTATTTTTTTTAGTATTCGAACTTTGGCTTTCGCTTCACAATACTTATTGCATTACAATGCTTCTGCTAGTTAAACTCACACAATTATAAGCTTAATGTGGTTTGATTGTTCCTTCAGTAAGTATGTTTGAAACGCAAAAGCACCTACCATGTAAAAATTAGGATATACCCCCATAAAAGGTTTCATTTTTTAATCAAATCATTAGAGCGACATGAATCAACTAGTCTAGCTCAATCGGCCCGCCTTTGTACACTTCTATCTATTAGGAGATCAGGAGTCATTTCTTGTTAAATGCAAAGATTTATATATATATATATATATTCTTTTTCTTATGAGCCTCTTTGTTGTTGATTTCTTCTCTATTTGGGATTCTTTTTTAGGTTAGTTGTTAGGCTTATGATTGTCCATTTGGGCTCTGTTTGCAGCTACGTCTAGGATTAACTTCTAGTTCAATTTTTTTTTGGTTTTTCTTCATTTGATAATGGTTGAATCAAATCATTGTGGGAGGCTGATTTTTAGAAGTTCAGTACTTAATCTTGTAATTATTATTATTATTATTTTTTAGATAAATTATATACTATTGGTTACTTTTAGTTTGAGCAAAATTTTATTTTGGTTTTCATAATTTTAATTTTATCAATTTAAATCTCACACTTTTAATTACATTTCAATGTGGTCCCTTTGTCAATTACATTTAGTATTTTAGGCCAAAAACATCATGTGCAACCCATGAAAATTTTAGGTAGCATTTGGTTTAGTTTAGTTTTAGAATCATGATTTGATAATAGAGTTGTATTTTGAACTTGTGAGTTGTTGAATCATAATTTGAGAAATTTTTTTTTGTTTAGTTATGAGTTTGAAAAGAGTTTTGAATTGAATTTTGAATTGAGTTTAGATTTTTTGAAATGAGTTTGAAATAAGAAAAGTTGTTTGGTTATGAATTTTGAAAAGAATTTTTAAATTTTAATTTAAAAACTTATAACTCATAATAAAAAACACAACTCAAAATTCTATTCAAAGTTCATAACCAATTTTTTTTTTTTTAAATTCAATTAAATTTTTTTTTAAAAATTCAAAAAATTCTGAAATTTTTTTTTATTTAAATATTAAAAAATATATATTCTTTTTTTGTTAAAAAAAATATTCAGCCAGTGTTTTAAAATTACTTTTGATTATATATTTGATTGGAATTTTTTTTATTTTTTAAAAATTATTGTGACAAATTAATTTTTATTTAATTTTTTTTGTCAATTTTAAATAAATGGCCAAATAATTTGTCATTTTTGTCTAAAAAAAATAATTTTTATATTTTAAACATATCAAAAACAAATATAACTTCTTTTTTTTTTTAAATAACTGGTGGCCATTGGGGGGAAAAAAAAAAAAAAAGCACTGCTCCAGTCAACTGGCCGGACAATCAGCTGAACATTCGGGAGGATGTTCGGACGGACAACCGGGTAAACCTAATTTCAAAATTCAAAATTCAAAATCTCACTTTGCCAAACATGTTTTGAAAAGAATTTTCAAATGTGTGTGTGGAATCAATTTTTGAAAAATATATTCAAACACAGAACTGAAATAGGAGGGTGGAATTATGATTCCTCCCCTAAACCAAACATAGCCTTAGCCATTTTGACCGAACAAAGAAAGATAAATATATTACATCGGTGCTCCCTATAATTTTTGACCAATTTCATTTTGGTCTCTATAGTTTTATATGTGTTTTCCATCAAAAATCTAAAGAAAACTAACAAAAGGATAACATTGAAATAAAATTAAAAATGTAGGGTTTAAAGTGATAAAATTAAAATTATAAGAATTAAAATGAATTTTTGTTCAAATTAGAGCAACTAATCGTATAATTTATATATATGTATATATATATATACCTTGAAAAAATTTATAATACACACCTTTAAAAAAGTGGGTCATATGCCATAGTTATGACTTATGTCTTGAAACATTTTTATTTCATTATGGTTTAAATATATGCAAATAATCTCTTTATGATTTAGGACTAAATATATGACTGATATCGTTACTAAGAGGGGGATTCTATTTACACTAAAAAAAACTTTGAGTATGCTCAATTTCTCAGTATATTTTATTCAATTATTTAGAGTTATATTTTACTCTTAATACACCTTATATATATATATATATATATGTATATTTTTCCAAATTATCCTTTAAAGTACCCCCAAATAATAAACAGATTAAAAACCCAAAATTATTTGAAAAACCTTTCATTTTGTTCAGATACAAGGAATATGGCATTGGCGAAGGAGAACAAGATGGTGAAACCAAAAATTGATTTCATAGTTAATTTGTTGAGGCTTTGATTTGTTAAAACCAGAAATTGACGTGTGAATTTGGGTTTTTGTTTAGAAGCGTACCTGTTATGTCCTGGTTTAAAAAATTGGGTTTCTATGTTTAACTGTAAGCACATATTTTGATATGAAAACATATGCTTTGTGAACTGAAATGGTTTTATGTGCTTTCTCTATATTTGTAGGAGTAGGTTTATGTATGATGAATGTATCATTCAGAATTTTTGAATAACGTTAGGCTTTCTAGGATATGTATATCGATTTTAGTGAATACTTATCTCCTCTTTGATGGGTTGTTTAAAATACAGTTTTTATTGTTATTGTTATCCATTGTTTAATTTGTTCAAACTGTTTTCTATTCTTTCAAGAATAAGAAACAAAGACGCTGATAATAATGGTGAGTTTTGGTGGGATGGTTTGAAGTTTTGGAATGAGGAAGAAGAAGAAAAGAAAACAATTAAAACTTTGGAAAGAAGATGAAGAATACGTATAAGTGATTAGGGCGTACCATGAGGAAAAAAAAATTATTTTAAGATTTAATGTGTCGTTCTTGTTAGTAAATTCATATTAAGATATAATAAAAATTAAATTTCAAAATTTTACTAGAACGTATTTAATAATTTTTTGGGTGCAAATAGAATCACCCTTACTATGAGGTGACTGAAGCCTACTTGTGGCCTAAGATAAAGTAGACAATCTAATTGAGGCCTTTATAATTTTTGCATTTAATTTTTTGTTTAAAATTTATTTTTTCTGCCTTTTGAGATCTAATATTGAAAATTAACGTTTTATATTTAAGTTTTATTATCGTATTCTTCTTAATTGACATTATAGCTAGGGGTTGGCTTCCCTCCAGTTTGTGTTCGGACTGGAGGGTAGTGTTGGGTCAATGGTGGGTTCCATTTCGATAATCTAAATTGTTGAATGTGTATAACTCGTCGACTACTATATGTTTGTAAAAAAATCACGTTGATCGGATATCGATAGTTACGCGATTAAATCAGTTTTGTATAAAAAAATAGACAATGAAAAAATAAACAGTTGACAAAAATCTGATCCAATGAGATAGCTATCGATATTCCATCAACGTGATGTTTTACATGCATATAGTACTCGACGAGTTCTACACATTGAACGGTTCGAATTATTAAAAAGAAATTCATGGTGGGTCCCTACGGGCCCAACAGTACCTTTCAATCCGATCATGAACCGGAAGAAAGCCTGAAGCTTATAGTTAATCCAGTTAATCTCATTTATGACATGGTTTACTTTAAATATGATTTCATCAATTTTAATTTTGAAAAATGTCTTCCTATTTTATAAAAAAATTGAAAAACTCCTTTGTAAAAAACTATTTGGATGATCTAAATAAGTATATTTTTTGACTTTTTATGAAAAAATATGCAGAAAAGTAGAGAGATGATGTAATCTAAATAAGTGTACTTTTATACGTTATGCCAAACACTCCCTACTTTTTACAAGTATTATTTATAATAATTTTTACAAGTTTTGTTAATAATATTATATACTTAGAAAAGTGCCTAATATATATATATATATATAAAATATATATATATATATTAGTATTCTATTAAAATGTTTTCTTCGATTTGCAATTTTTGGGCAAATTACAAAAAAGGTGATATAGTCACAAAATAATTGTAGTTACATATGAGAATATTTTTTAGGGGAGCGGGTCACTACTGTCCCCCTCCCTGCTGTGTTGCTGCTGTGGCGTAAAACGACACAGTTTGATATATATATATATATATATTCTTAAAATTTGTTTTTTTTTATTTTAGGATTTAATTTTTAAAATTTAATTTTTTTAATTTAGGGTTTAGGGATAAATTTTTTTTTTTATTTTAGGGTTTAGGGTTTAATTCTTAATTTTTTTTTATTTTTAATTTTAGGATTTAGGGGTTAGGGTTTAATTTTTAAAATTTATTTATTTTTCTTATTTTAGGGTTTAGGATTTAGGGTTTAATTCTTAAAATTTATTTATTTTTTATTTTTTATTTTAGGGTTAAGGGTTTAGGTTTAATTTTTAATTTTTTTATTTATTTTAGAGTTTAGGTTTAATTTTTAATTTTTTTTATTTTAGGGTTTAGGATTTAATTCTTAAATTTTTTTATTTTTTTTATTTTAGGGTTTAGGATTTAGGGTTTAATTTTTAAAATTTATTTTTTTTATTTTAGGGTTTAGAGTTTAGAGTTTATGTTTAATTCTTAATTATTATTATTTTTTTTAATATTTTAGAGTTTAAAAAAACATAGTGACAACATGAGAGAAAAAAAAAAATGGTGAAACTGTGCCGTTTTACAGCACAGCAGGAACAACAGGGAGGGGGGCACAGCGGGGACCCTCTATCCATTTTTTAGTGCAACTCTGACACACAGAAAAGACTTGTACCATTGGAGATTTTTTTTATTTTTTTTATATCAGCAAATATGAATTTTATTGATAATAATCAAGGTAAACTTTGAATCAT